CACTGTCCAACCAACTTTGTAACCAGAGGTTCAACTGAATAGAATCTGAATCACATGCACCACAAGGCCTATGCAGCCTCAATTTAAGATGGCTCCCCAGCCTGGCTTTGCACTGCAAAGTTTGCAGCAGCACGTGCAACAAAATGGCGTCCAGCATTCAAAAAACCCCTCAGCTTGCATTAACTAGCCACACACAAGGCATGCAAACTCCACCCCCAGTTGTTCTTTGACTTCTTATTGGGTGAGCAACACAGCCAAGCAACACAGTTGGAGCCTCCCTCCTCCCTGGCCAGCAGGGAGGGAGGGAGAGGAGCTGCTTCCTTTGAAATTTAAGGGACATCATTTAAGGGACATTTAAGGGACATCCATCAATAAGGGACAGCAGTGGGACATGGCGCTGGAATAAGGGACTGTCCCTTCAAATAAGGGACATTTGACAGCTATGCCCTGATGTATCACATCTACTAGATTGTGAGTTAAGCAGGGACTATTTTATCCTGCCTACTTACATATAAGCAACTCTGAAAGACTGTCTTCCCCTCCATTGTTGGGCAAGGGCATGAAGACTAACAAATGGAAACCCACTATTTTTGCAACGGCCTGGTGATTAATTATCTGCTTGCAGTGGCACAGAGGTGGAGTTTTAATTGGTGGCACCAGAATGGTGGAATGCTTCTACTGCCGGAATATGGGAAATCCTATCATTATTGGCATTCTGCTGGTTCATACTGTTTTTTCACCTCTATGTCAAATTATCTTGAAGACACACCTGTTTAAATAAGCATCTCCCTGATTCCCTGTCTCGAATTCCCTGTTTTAATTTTTCTAACTAATATTGTAACTGGTTTTTATTGTTGTGCTGTTTTGACAGGATGTTTTATTGTACATTTTAATTGTGGTAGTTTGTTTCAATGTTTTGAAAATTTGCTTTATTGTGTATTTAATTGTGTGTGTTTGTAATTGTTTTTACACTTGTTTACCACTTTGAAGCCACCTTGGAAATTACCAAATGAATATACATACCGTGTTTGGATAATTTTAGGTACTTTATAATTGCTAAATTATAGATTACACCACCATCATCACAGAACAAAAACTATTTACTGCATTCCCTTCCTTAGAGGTGTATTTTCAGGTCTATGCAAACTTTTGTAGGGGCTGAGGAAAGAAAAGTCTTCCATGACCCTTGTTAACTTTTCAAAAGAACCCGTGTCCTATATGTGAGGAAAATATTATTAATGTAATAGAAATATCAAACTCTGGAAATAATGTATATAATATTTGTGACATTTCAATTACCTCTGTATAAGTAGAATAGTAAGTCAAATAATAATTTGTGTGTGTGTCCCCATGTGTATGTGTGCGTGTGTGTGTGTGTGTGTGTGTGTCTGTGTGTGTGTGTGTGTTCTCAGAAAGGTTTTCATAATGACCTCATTTTTCCACAGAGACATTTATTGAATATAGGAAAAGTGTGGTAAATTAGACTTTTTAAAAAAGTGAAGAGTGTAAAGATTGTTCAATAAAAAAGAAAGAAAATAGCAACACTTATGACAGCAGGTGGTAAAATGAAATATGAAAAAAATATTGTTAATTTATTTATTTTTTGGAATTTTTCTCTTTTTCAATATCTTTCTAAAATCACTCAAAGTCAGCTAAAGTTACATTTGCTATACAGTACTGTATCTATACCAGAGAATATTACTTTTAATAAAGCTACAAGTTTTCCCTCCTATATACTAAACATCAAAAAAGAAGTATATTTTTATATTCCAGCATTCTCCAACCTGGTGCCCTGCAGTCATTTTTATGTATTTCTCCCTCCACCCCTAACTATTGGCCATGATGGCTGTAACTGACAGAAACTGGAATTCGACAACATATGTTGAAAACAACATATACAAATATTGGCTATGGTATGGGGATCTACTGTTCACAGAAAGTTCAAAATATCCACTGGAAATACTGAAGTCCTTAGGCATACATGCCTAAGTAGCTATCCATAATTACAAACTGTGGTTTGGTGCTAAGTATGGTTAGCAAAAGCACCAGTGCAGATTAGTGTCCTCTCTGAACCTTCTTGTTGATTATGTGGTTCAGAATGAAGATTTGCCTAGCTCAGAACATTTTAGACAGGACACATTCTTCAAACTCTCAGTTTGTAAAATAGGGTTCCACATATATTTATGTGGTTCCTTCCACATACACTTTTGGTGATGGTGGGGAGTCAGTTTTTTGTCCACAAACTGGGCACAAACTTTTACTCAGAGCTAAACAAATGCCTCCAAAACAGAATTTTCCATCTTCTGAAACACAATGTCCAGGAAGTCCAGAAGAAACAGAACTGCCCTTAGCTTGTCTAACCTCTCCTGAAGGACATTTGCTACATTATTCTTCCAAGCTTTTCATGGACTACCTTTGCTTTCTTTTGCCTTTGCTTTCTTTTGCCACTGCTTTACTCTGCTTCTTTGCTTTTTTTATTAGTGTTTTTTTTGTTGTTGTTTCCATTTTTTTCAAAAAAAATATCGTTGCAATTCTTGTTAGCCACACTGAAAACTAAAATGTGGAATTAAAATAAGCCATGTTTTAATATAAAAAAGCATGTATTGTTGTATGTTTGTAAAAGAAGGGAGAAGAGAGAGCTGAGAAGAGAAGAGCATGTTACCTGACAGGTGCCCCACGAGATTGTGCAGGTTTCAGCAAGACTGTGATGGTTGTCTCTGTTTCATTCAGAGGAGAGTCTGCATCATATTCAGGCATTGATGGTGCTGTGGAGTAGAGGGGAGATCCATGGGTTAAATATGATCTCTTTCATGTCATGAGATTTGAAGCCAGTCACGGTACATTGACATTTGAGAATCAACACTGTAATTTTAATTCTTGGATGGCAATGACCTGGGCACTTGATTACTATTTTAAAGCAATTAGGAAGAGCTGGACATTAAGCTATTTTTAGCCACTCTTGACTTCAACCTTAGTACTGTAGGACACCTTAGTATAGCTTTGGATATGTTTAAAGTTCCAAGGGAAAATGACTGGGATCCCAAGTTTGCCCCTACCAGGGGTGAAGGAAGGAGGGTGCGGTAGGGGTGGTCCACCCTGGGTGTCACCACTAAGGGGGGGTGACAAAATGCCAGGCGGCACTCACTGCGGGGCCTGCAGCGTGTCCAAGCCACGTGCCTCTCCTGGGTGCCCACAGACTCCGCGCTGCATCAAACGGTCCGCCCACTGCCTCCCCCTCAGCTGTTGGGTGGCTGAGTGGGAGGAGGCAGGCAGACTCCTCGGAGGCCCCACAGAGCATCCTGCCCCAGCTTGCCCCGCCCCACGGGCAGCTGGCACACATGCCACCCAGGCACCCGATTGGCCGCTGGCTCCCACTGTGAGAAGTCTCCCCCAAACAGATTGCTACTCACAGAACACTCATATCTACATCTGCCAAGTCTCCCTTCCCACTAAGTCCCTTGTTGTGCCCCCTACAAATCTGTTCTAAATAGCTGAGGGACTCTCTAAAACAGCACTGAGTTCTGCAGGGTTAGACAGAAATTGCCTTCTCCCCTTTCCCCAGCGGGTTCCTCTCTTGGATGTTGGTCCCATCCATGAATGAAAGGGGTTCAGAACCAAGCAATTCTTTGCTTGAATTCTGCTCAGCTTCCTATATAATGCTTTTAAGGGATGCGGAAGAAAATTATTTATTATTCTGCTCTCCCTGCAATTTCAGATCTTGACTTGCAGCTGATCTCTTGCCAGAGCCTTTTATCCAACAAATGGCTCCAGCATGTTGCCATTCTGTAAATTCCTGTACTACATTCCCAAACAGCTTGATGAACTGGGGAGAATCGAAACACCATGTTGGGTTCTTTGGAGGGAAACTCTGAGAGATGCCAATGAGTGGTCCACCCACCGACAGATTATGGCTGCCAATCTGTGGAGAACTTTGGGGCTGATCTACTCACCCATCTCTTAAACCCATCTCTCCCCCCTCTATCCACATACATATTTGTACAATAAATGTAAAACTGTAGTAGTAGAGTGATGCAGTTAAGGGAATTTGTAGTTCTACAATTAAAACTTGCTGGACTTTTAAACACACCGCAGAGTTGCATCCCTTACTGTATGGGATCCATGTAATGGGAACCAACAAGGCTCCATTCCCCATATGTTTAGCAAACCACCTATGGTATTAAACACAGCTTGGAGTGATATTAACGGAACTTTACACAGACCACAACCAGGATTAAGCCTTCTTAGTAGCCAGGAAGAAACATTCATGCTCTTATTCATACCCCAAAAGAAAAGCACCCATGAGCCCCAATCACAAAAGGTATTAAGCAGAAAGTGGCTGGGGATGGGCAAAAGATTTAGCACAATTAGTTCTATATGGCAATCACTTATAATTCATAATATCCAATGTTTAGGGAGGTAGTATTACCATGCCACCTCGCTGGGTGAAAATGCAAACATTTTTCATCTACTAGTATAATTTAGTCATAAATCTCAAAGACATTTACCACTAGGAGCTTCCGCAGGTGAAAACTGAGATTGCACAAAGCTCAGTGATAGAGTGTATGCTTTGCATCTGTTCAAGAGCAATCCCTGGCTTATGGTAAATGGATCCAGGAAGCAGTGCTTGACTGGGGGGAGAAAAAACCACATTTCACAAATGCTGAAGAGCTTCCTTTGAGACTAGTTCTTTGTTAGCCTTGACAGTGCTAGATGGTTTGTTGTACCACTAGTTTCACTGCTAGAGCAGATATAAAGAAACTGAGTGTTGTATCCAACTTGCACTCAGAGTAGACCCACTGAAATTAATGGACCTAAGTGAGTAATGTCAATCATTTCAGTGGGTCTACTCTGAGTATAACCAACATTGGCTTAAAAGCCTGTATTTTCCCAAGATTATCCCCAGTTGAATACAACACCCGAGCTTTGAGTTTCTAGAGGACTACCCCACTGGCTATACCCCTGTGAAAACTGAAATCTCTCTTTTCTTCGCAGTATAGTACCTGAAATTTTAGTTGCAATCCTTGTGGTGATGGGGGGTCCAAAGCCCTTCACTGTGCTGGCTTTGATGGTGAATGAGTAAGTAGTCCCTGGATACAGCCCTACAAAGAGATGATGCGTTTCATTCCTTAGTTTGAAGACCTTCCCTCTTTGGTTAGACAGGTCAGCGGTGGGATCTAGGGACCCAACAGCCTTGTATGTAATCTGAAATGAAGGAAAGAGAAAATCAGAGGCCTTGTGTAATTTTGTAATGTTTTACTAATTCCCTTTCCTATTCCCATAAAGATCTAACTTTCAATTAGAATGCCTGGAAAAATCTATACAGCAGATGTGATACGAATGCAACTGTCCTAAGTTAGATAACTTGGCACCCGGCAGCTCTTCTCATCAGATCATAATTACACCGTTTGTACATGCTATAGTAAATGTCACAGGGCATTTTTTTATTGTTGTTTTTTGGTAGTGATTTGCAACATATTAGTAGGTTAATGGGAAACATCAGAAAATGATACTATTTATCAATAAATCTCAAGATTGACCCAAAGCTTTTTGCTAAATTTACTCGTCTCATAGATATCCAAGGCCAGTTTGGTCTGGTAACATGCGATCTCGCTATCAATCTTAATTAGATTACAAATGTTCCACTTCATAGTGCTTTGATATATGGATTGAAAGTTGTTTATCTAAAAAGTTCACATCTGACTGGGACTGTGTAAAGCAAGATCCTTGAACCTTTGCAATCACCCCCAAAGTGTCTTATTTGACCCCCCCCCCATTCCAGTAGCAACCACAGCTCATACAATAGCTGGTTTGTACGTATCTGGGGAATTAGGCAGCCTCTGAGCTACTGACACAGGTATGGCATAGGAAAGCTTTTAGGACCAAGGAAGATGAGCAATCCCTAAGCTTTTCTAACCAAGCTTGAGGAAGCTCCCCAACTCAAATGAGCTGGCAACAATGGGGTGGGTATCTTCCTACCTTTGCAGCTACTTTTCATAGCTGATGTTTCACATAGGACATTGGCCACACAATGCTGGGTCTTGATGATGGTAATGTAGCATAAACACAGACAACTGGCAAACACTAGCCTGCGAGTGCTCCAATTAGAGAATAGCCTTTAACAAAGGTGTCATGGGACTCAAAGACGCTTGAACTCGGGACGGAAGGGAGAAACGTGCTAAGAGGAAGGCATGCTTGGAAAACCTTCACTATGATCAACTCCCGTCGGGAAACCTAGGTCTCCACTGTGGAAGGACGTGTGGATCCAGAATTGGCGTCCACAGACACTTATAGACACTGTTAAAACCATGTTTATGGAAGACAATCTTACTCAGCTACGAGTGATCACAGAAGAAGAAGAAGAAGAAATGAAAGAACCCTAACTTCATTACGTTTCATTAGGGCTAAATGGCCTCTGGTTTACAGGTAGTGCTTCTCAAAAACAAAACAGTGAAATGTTTAATAAACCTTTGGTATGCATTTCAGTGCTTTTCTATATTTGAGAAAGCATCGGCTGCAAGCCAGAGACCACTTATTCAATTCTCCTTGATTCCTCCTCCTCCTCTTCTGATCACTGTCCTTGGCTTTCAGAGTTGCTATACACCTCAGAAAGCAGGCACTTTAGTACAAACCCAAGCAAATATTCATGAATAAATATGTTGCTGCAGCTACTAAGACCCCTTTGGAGAGCTACAAGCTTAAAGCACACCTTTTGAAATTCTATCCAAGTTCCATTATACTTATCAATGGCCACTGTGCAGATGTACACACATATTCAGAGGTAAACCTCATGACTTATTTACCAGCTAATTTCTTTTCTGTGTTCCAAATTCAATATAAAGGTGGCTCAATTTCGGTGGAACTGTCAATAAAATATACCACGCTCTACTGCTCCCTTAACCTTTCTTGATATTACAGGATCCTCGCTTATATGTAATAGAACACTGTGAATAAATCAATGTATGTTAATATACACACATCTTCAAATTTTTATGAAGGGCTTCACAAAAATCAAATTCACAGGTTATAAGAAAGTCTTGGGGCGGGGGGTGGGGTGGGAAGAAACCACTATTTTATATTAGGAGGAACATATTGCATGCCAAACAAACAGCTAAACAAAATCCTTTGAATATGAAAGTATGAAATGTTAAATAATGCACCTGGGTGGCATGAGAATGGGGAAAGGTTGCAAAATGTGGCTGATTCTATTATCTAAAGCAAATGGATTTAATCAGGAAATGTGCTACCGATTGATCAATGCCAAACATTTTGTTATGTAGAGATTTCTGCAGGCAACAAATACACTAAGTGGCCCATGGGAAGCTTAGGGGCAGAGCTCCCGCTTTGCATGCAGAAGGTCCCAGGCTCAGTTACTGGCATCTCTGGGTATGTTCCCTGCCTGAATCCTGGAGAGCAGCTGCTGTTCAGTGTAGACAGTGCTGAGCTAGATGGGCCAATGTTCTGACTTAGTGTAAAGTGGCTTCTTATATTCATTCCAGCTAAAGGTGAGCAGCTTTGCATCCTGTTGATATCAACAAAGGTGTTATGCAAAGGCTTAACCATCTCCCATTGAATTCAGTGGCATCCTAAAGTGCTTGGCTTTGCATTCCATGCTTTGTCAAGGCCTATTGGACATGGCTCGGAAAAAGTGCCATGGAATTTTACAAGCTGAAGTGTAAAATAAACTCTCATTCCTTGTCCTGCAAGCAACAGTGCTAATAAAAATACATATGGGATTTTACTTCCCATGACAAAATTAATCCCCTGCCACAAGATTTTTGCAAGAGAAATGAAGGTATTAAAAAACAGGTGCTTAGGTTCTTGAGTCCTCTCTAACATCCAATTCCAGTGGTTGCCAAATGAGGGGTGGCAGAGAATTTGATCACTGAGGAGTCCAATATGAACTGACTTGATCCTCATCTCCTGAAGTGAAGTATGCTCACCAATTCTGAGTCTAATCTGTGTATACTTGGCGGGGGGTGGGGGTGGGGGCAGATTGCTTTTTGAGACAGTCCTAAACTGGATCACTTTTTTCCAGCTATTTCTTAAATAGCTGCTTGGGAACTTCTCACTGGTGTCAGTGCATTACCTACGCAAGAGTGCAACACTCCCTCTATTTCTGTAGTTGCCATGTATCATACATGGTCCACTATACTCTACCCCATAGTTGGCAAATATTGTGTGATTTGATCCCAGTAAATCATCCTGTGGGCCCCCAATAATTTGTATTTTGATTATTGTTTTTTTTCAAACCAGAATTTTCTATGTTTTTTTTCCTTCCTCCCAAATGATTGAAGGTGTTTGTTTTTCTAACCGTCAGACTTGCATTTGTAAAGGTCACACTTCCATGATATATGCCCTGCCTTTAGGACACAACATGTGGGGAGACACAATGAATTGCACAGTGCCCATTTTAAAAAGTTTAGGTCAATTTTAGCAATGAATGAACATGCTCCAAACATCCACCAATGCAGTAGCTACCATGTTGAGTGCATAGTCACATGCAGTGATAGAAAACCTACCCTTTTATCAGCCTGACTGCAAGTATGATCAAAGAGGAGAAGTAATAGAGCAATACAAAACCCATCCAGGGAGAAGCTGAATGAAGCAGCAAATTCACCGCCATACCTGAAGGCAGGGACTGGCCAGGTCAGAAGGCAGGGATTGATTTCTGCTTTTCTTGTCAGCTCCAAGCAGGCACAGCTAAGTAGCCTTAGGAGCAAGTTTCTCATGGTTTCCATGGGACTTTGGATCCTGCAAATCTAAAGCCACTTGCACCCAGTGGCGGAGCTTCATGCTCTGGCACTGGGGGACGGAGAGCAGGTGGGGGTGGGGCTGGCACACCACCCACAGGGGCAGGGCGCACATACTGGGGATGGGGCGTGCCACCTGTGGGGGCAGGGCACCCAGCATAGGCGGGCAGGCAACTGCAATGGCACCCTGCTGGGATTGCACTGCCAGGGGCGGTGCGCTCCCCCCGCACTCCTCTTTCTCCGCCAGTGCTTGCACCCCACCACAAAGCATCCCATTTAGAGGGTTTTCCACAGACTACCACCGGCAAGAGAACCACTGTTCAGTTTTGAGCAATGGCCTTAGCTGTACAGAAGTCAGGCTGGGCTCCAATGGTACCTTGGACAGCTCCAGGCCAGGCTAAATTAGAGCTTCAGTTTTTGTCAAAGGATGGGGGGGAGACAAACAAAGTGGGGAGGAGACGGGGAAAGATAGTGAATAATCTTAGATGCAGAATAATTATGTTTTCCCCAGAGCATGTATGTACAGCTTTGCTTAAACAATATGCTTTGTTCTAAGTGGTTATTTGTTTACATTGAAATTGGGTATTTCTGGTGCAGGTTACACCTAATCACCACTATAATGCATGCAAATTATTATGGTAACTCCAATATAAGCCTCATCACAGTGCCCTCCCCTATATAGGTTGCAATCAATTATGTGTACTTCCCATCACAGGACACAGCCTAGCTAACCCTTCTGTCCTAATTCCAGTGCTATATTGAGTCTAGAAGCTGCAAATGTTTATTCATGCCACAAAATCCAAATGGTCTTGTGACACTGACAAGTGAGGAGCAGGGAAAGGGGAGACTTAAGAAATCACTGCATTTGTGACCTTGCCCGCATCTGAACTCTGGCCCTCTGGGGAATGCATCTCTTCTTGGCTTAAAAAAAAAAACAGAACAAAGAAACCAATTCTTTACTTCTTCTGGGAGCCAAAACCCTGGAAACAGAGCTATTTATATGTTGAGGCTTGTCACAGCCTTGTACACATAGCTGGAGCAGACCAGTTGAGAGAATAAACTAGGGATTATCGGGTGGCTGCTACAGAAGTGAGCTCAATTGCTAAAACATTTAAGGTTAAGAAACAAAAACAAACAAACAAGAAACAACAGCACACTCATTCATTCCATTGGCAGTTTCTATGGTTTACATCTCACCTAGCGTTAAGTATTGGGTTCTTCCAGACTGGACTTAGCATTGTTGTTCAGATATCAGAAACAGGTCACTGGCAATTTCCCCCCAACTTATTACATTTTCCACATAAAGGTGGAGTCTGATTTTTTTTTTTTTATGATCTGGCAAGTCAACAATGGTGCGTGGATGCTGTGATAAACTTGGATGTACAAGGAATGCTGATTCCACAACAAACACCCATCTAGAAACTACCATTGACTCAGTTTATTCGAGACAAATGTGAACATTGAATGATAAATGCTTTTCAAGCACACCTGTAGACCCATGCATAATCCTTCATTATGTGGATAGCACTGATGAACCCTGCAAGATTAAAATAAAGGCAGTGGACTGTTTCCCCTGACTGTTTCCCCTCTTTTGCTAATTAAATGACTAGTGGATTTTTAAGGCATTTCTCTTTTGGAAGCCTTGATTATTGCTGTTTTTGTGAATCAGTTAACAATTATTTGCCCATTATAGCTGTGTTAAGTAGTCCAGTGTTGGGGTAATTAGGGTCACTAGATCAAAATTTATAAAATGAAAGATAATGGCTGAGCTCCTATCTCTAGTCTGTTGCGTTCCAAGACACTATGAAACAAGGGTCATCCATATTGTTCATCGATACTCTGCAATTACTCTACAATAAATTGATACTCTGAAATAAAAGGTTGCCATTTATTTATGTGAATTTTTAAACCCATCAAGGAAATTTAAAACAATAAAATGCATCAATATACATTTCAACATCTAGAGTAGCTTTCAATATAAAATACACATTTCAAAATAGAGGAATCATTTAACACACACTTCACAATTCCTGTTTAATTAACTAGTATTATAAACCTTTTGGCAAACCTGATGGGCAGTGGAGGGAGAGAGGGCTGAGTTCATGGTTGAAGTCCCAGAAGATACCAATGCAAGTTTCCTTCTCAGGAACATACAACCTCCCCTCGTAGGACATTTTCTTCTCCCTGCTCTCAGTCAACATGTGCTGGCAGCAGAACACACTTCTTACAGCTGCCATGCATTCATCTTAAATGAAAATTAACCCAGTTTAAGGGTATAAGAGGCCTACAGTTTTACTCCAACAGGTTTTTCCAACTGGATAAATGGGGTTTTATGAACCACCAGTGTCTACTTAGTATGGTTTTAAATGTATTTGCTGGTTTTGTGTTTTTATCTGTTTTTTTTTTCAAAATTGTCTTCAGTGTATATTGCCTTGGTTATTTAGAAGGCAGTAAATAAATAAATTATAACAGTGATAAACATAATAACAACAGCCATCAGAACGATCAGAGAGCAGCACATATAAGTTGACTAGTGGTGGACTTACATTCTGGGGACCCTCTTCACAACTAGCAACAAAGTCTCGGTAACCACTGTTTTCTTCTTCAATGGGGTTGTTCCATGACAGATCACCGCACAGTTACAATGTCTGTGCTACTGACTCTCAAACTTTGGGATTGTTGAAATATATATTTTAAAAAATGAATCAATTTGACTCAAATCAATGTGATTTGGATTGAGTCTACTAAACCCAAAATTCTTAAGCATTGTGGACTAAAGTCAAGTCTGGGGCCACTCTGGGATGAGAGGCCCTGAAGCTGAAGCTTCATTAGTTTCATAGAAGATCTGCCCCTGAAGCTGACTACTTTTCAAAGTTCTTAACTGGATACAACTCACACTGCCATTTGGGAATTGCAGGGCTTACAGTAAAGAAAGATGGTGAATCTATGAGGCAATGCTTTTCATTTTTTTAATAAATTGCTGGACTTGTGAATTGCTTTAAACTTCCCATTTACATGCTGCACACCCTTGCTGGGGAGGCATACCTACCTTTTCAAACTTTAGAAATTCTCAGCAAAATTTGATTACTTGGAGCAAAGGTGTAGTATTGCAAATTGCCTTTCCAATTTGGCAAAAAGCTTGAGTAAACCTCAGCAATCAAACACAGTTTAATTGAGTGTAAGGGGTTAAAGCAATCTGAGCATGTGCCAACTGTGGCTGCCAGTGTGCATAGCAGATGAATGCACACTGTATGGGCACAAAATCAGCACACACACTCGAAATAATCTCAAGTTAAATTTTGAGAAAGAGATGGAATGAAAGGGGTCTCCTTTGAATATATATCAGTACTACAAGTGTAGAATTTTTGTTGTTGTGGGCTCATTAATGTCTGATTTGGCGGTATCACTAGTCCCTATTTGAGGCAGGTCAACTAAGTTGTCTCTGCCTGCCGCTCTTCAAAAAGTAGACTGGTGACAGTTCAGCTGGGCTCACCTTTGGCAAAAAGAAGTAAATCTCACCTGACATTAATGACCTTGATCGAGGCATAAATCCTATGACTGCATTGTACCAAAAAAAGAAGAAGAAGAGGAGCTGCCTGCTTTCCCAAGCATGAGATCATCTATCACAAATGAAAGCATTCTTCCTATGGGGAAGAATGTCAGAGATAAAAGGTTGCTATGACACACACCTTAGCTACATTCAGCTTGGATTCCTGCAATGTGCTTTACAGGGAACTTCCTTTACAGATTCTTCCGAAGCGTCAAGTTGGCCCAGAATGCAGTTGCAAATATGTTGGTTGGTGTTCACCCATGGAATTACATTCTACTGCTTGTGTGACAGCTGTACCGTGACAGCCCTTCAGATATTAGACGAAGGTTATCATGTCACCTCTAAGTCTTGTCTTCTCCAGGCTTAACATACTCAACACTTTTAACCATTCCTCATAAGGCCATTATCATCTTGGCCACCCTTCTCTTCTTCACACACTCCAGCTTGTCAATATCCTTAAACTGTGGTGCTCAGAAGTGGACACAGTACTCCACGTGGGATCTGTCCAAGGCAGAATAGAGCAGTGCTATTACTTCTCTTGACACTATAGTTCTATTGATACAGCCTAGAATTTAATTACCCCCCTTTTTTTGCTGCTTCTCTATGTCCTGCCCCAGGATTGAAGCATGGTTGCATCATCATCATATTTGTACCCCACTCACTTGACTGGGTTGCCCCAGTTACTCTGGGTGGCTTCCAACATATATAAAAACATAATAAAAAACTACACATTTTTTTAAAAAAAAGATTCCCTGTATAGAGCTGCCTTCAGATGTCTTCTAAAGGTTATGTAATTATATAGTTACTCATCTCCTTGACATCTGGTGGGAGGGTGTTCCACAGGATTAGGGGCACAGGCTTAGTGACAATGCTGGAAAGTGGGGTTGACATTCTTCTCTGGCATCGTTTGAGGACCTTCAGAGTTGCAGGGCCTGGACTTTAGTCCTGTATCCTAGCCTTCACAGCACCACTGGGTATGAACCGAATCAGGGGCTTAGTGACAGTAAAACTTTGGCCTTCTGTTCTAAGTACTAAGGCCTTGTAAACCAAAGTCATTATCATGGGGCTCTGTACCCACCTCGAACCCTGATGCATTTGATAAAACCAGCAATACAATTCTGTAAACAGCTTCCAATGTAAATACATCAGCGGCAATCTTGATTTCCTTGTTCCACGTAGCAAACAAATAAGCCTTCATAATCCTGCTTCTTAACAAAAGCTCCCTGTATCAAGATTACTTTCCATTTTCAAAATATAAAAGAAAAAGAATTAAGGTAGCCTGTTTTGCCCAGAGTCTGTTTTTCCAGGAATTTGACATGTTCCTGCCAAGTTGCTTGCAGAGTGCTGCTAACTCATTTCTATCTCAAAGTGAAACCGTAACTAGATTTAGAGTTCATGGTGCTTTGGGAAGGAAGTGTTTTCTTTGATTTCAGCCTTTGTTTTTGACAAGGGAGTTTGGTCTTAGGAGAATACCACACTTCCCGCCCTCCTAGTCTTCAGTGCTCCCACATTCCTGTCAGTTTTTGCTACTTCCTCATGTGATGTGACATGAAATGCAATTTGAGCTAACTGGCATATAAAACTTATCTGTGTAGCCATCACACAATGCCCTATGTGGAGCAACATTAGCAGGCAGAGCCAGATCAAACTTAACAGCTAAATCTTGGATTATTTATTTGCTGCTCAGGGATTTCTCTATCAAGCCCGGTTTTGGGTTTTTCATAAAGCTAAGCATGAAGTTAAAATTCATTAGAAGAAGATAATCTGAAACAGCTGAACATACCAGTGATCTTGCATACAGATCATAGTGCCCACCAGGGAGTATGGCAGAGTTCTACACCGGCTGTCAATTAGTTTCTGGACCCAATTCAAAGTGCTGTTTTTGACATCTAAAGCTGTAAACAGCTCAGGATTGCAAAACCACAAGGACCACCTCTCCCCATATGAACCTACCTGGACTGTGAGATCATCCTCTGAGGCCCTTCTTTGTGTGCCTCCTCCATGAGAGGTCAAGTGGGTGACGACAAGAGAACAGGCCTTTTCTGCAGTGGCTGCCCATTTGTGGAATGCTCACTCCAGGGAGGTTCGTTATACACCTTTAGGTGCCAGGCAAAAACTTTCCTCTTCAACCAGGCAGCGATAGATGTGTCTGTTTACCTTTTTATAGCAAGCTGCTGATCATCATCCTGTACCTAGGATTTCATTGAGTTTACTGTTCTCCCTGCCCCTCCTCCAATGATTTAGTACAGCAGTGGGGAATGTCAGTCTTAAGTGCTGAGCCCTGAACTGTTTTGCCTCTGGGCAAGCCCACTTTTGTCCCTAGCCCCCACCCACCACAGGAATGTGTCTCACACTATTTCTTTTAAATGTTGTTGTTAGTATCCATCTATCTCAAGAGACAATGGAAGAGTGTGCCATTGGGGGTAAAGCCAAACCATTGGAGAGTTACAGTGCCTGCTGTGGCTGCAAAGACTGTTGCAGCTGGGGAAGATGAAGGCATCCGATTTCACTTTTACAGACGCACCATGGTGTTTCTTCTCCCTATGCTCCTCCCTCCTCTCCTCTGGTTCCTGCTGTGGACACACGACCTGAATGATAGTCTCCAGACACAGCAGTCACCTGCAAGGGATTCCCATACAGTGGGGTTAATGTTGCCAGTCTTCACATCCCATTTAGGGAGATACGTAGCCGCTCCAGCAACATATCTCTATTTCCTCGCATCCAGAAACGCAAGAAGGGCTTTCACTCTTGCTAGAAGCTTGGCCTTGCCCTCACCCGTTCTGGAAGGCTCCTATAGAAGTGTTCCGCACGCACAGTGACTTTGCGCCTGCCCATTAGGGGAAATAGGAAGCCCCGAACATATAGTTTTTAGATCTCCTTTTCATGTTGAGAGTCATAGAGACACCATTGATCCTTTGCTGAAGAGGCTCGCCAATCTTTCAGATAAGCCTAAACTTAGTTCTCTCCTCTTAGGCAAAGATAACAAGACGCCCTGGCTGGTAGTCAGATTCTGCGCCCAGATTTGTAGGCACAGATCATCCTCTAGAATAAAATAGCTTACTAGGGAAATGCTGAAGTCACCCTTTGGGGCACCTCAGGGTCAATTTTTATGGTAGCCCAAATCTCAGTTGTACGGGTGTGTGTATGTATATATCTCAATTTTAACTCATGAACTATTGCTGCAATCTGCTCTGATTGTATAATTTATCTTTATGAACGCTGTTTTTAGTGTGTTGTGCGAGCTGGTCTTTGACCGTAATAAATTATCTATCTATCCACATCCCATTTGCAGACTCTTTGTAACCCAGAGTTGTTCTGCCAATGGTCCTGAAGCCAGCTCCCCATCGAGCACATCCTTGGGGATCCTGCTATCTTCCATTCTGTGGATATGACCAAAGCCTAGACATCACTGAGACAGAAGGGAAAACATGCTGGAAATGTCAGCTTGGGAAAGCCCATCTTTGTTTGAGACTCTGTCTTGCCACGTGATGCCCAAGATCTTCCTGGTGCACTTTTGTCTTGGTGTGGAGATGTGCATGATATCCCCCTTCCCATGGGCTCAAGGTTCTTCCCCCTCCTCACTTCATCCGCACAACAATCCTGTATGGTAGATAAGTTTGAGTGGCAGTGACTCACCCAAGTTCACCCACTGTTCCACTGCCAGAAGCTTGTCACTGCAGCCATGCAACCTGGTAAGTTGTGCAACTCTGGCTTTGGTTAGGGGCAGGGGAGGCAGCAGCAGCAGCCATGGGCGGTGGCACTTTCCTGTTTCACTTCAAGCAGCTAAATTGGGTGGGCTGCCCCTGTAATCACTGCACCACATTGGCTAGTATCCAGACTGATTTCATTGGGATTCACAAAGCTCTCTTCTTCCAGACGTACAGAGAGAAAATGAAAAATCTGAATCTCCCTTGTAGGGGGCATCCTCAATGGGTATTTGCAAGAAAAAAGATGATTTAGCCAATCAAGGAGCCTTGCTGGCTGAAAAGAATAATTCTATCTACTCCTATAGTTAACCGCTGAGCTTGCCCCAAGATGGCAGAGTGAGAGAAAAAAAGCACAAAAGTGGAAGGTGTGATCATTTCCTGTCATTGTCTGTACGAAACAATGACTCTGATTGCTGTTTGTATAAGTGCCTTCACAAGTTACACTGTCAAGCTGTCCTAGATTGAGTTTCTACTCGCCAAGAAAGATTGAAAAGAAGCTGTTTCAATTCAAGAGAAAGAAGGAAATAGCCTGTGCAATTTCCCAGCCCTATTTTTCTATTTTTCAAAATTAATACCTATACACTTCCCACCCAGCAATAATTTCCTAAAAGTATAGCCTGACTAGCCATGTACAGTTTGAGAACCACAGAAATTCAACCTATTCAAAATTAACTAGGAACAGGTAGAGTAGATTTTGTCTGTCAGAATGAAGTTGACAAGAGCTATGTTCTAAAACCAGATTCATTTTACATGCCCTAAACCATGTCAGGTATTTGTGATGTATCTGCAGTATGGTTTTGTACACTTCAGTGCAGGGAAGGCAGGGTAGAAATTATTTACATAAATAGGGACAAAAAGACACAACTTCTAATTTGTGCATCAAATCCTGCACCCGTTTCCTTGAACTGAAAATTTAGGCCAAGTAAGAAAGACCTACTGACCATGTAACAAAGTAATTTTATAGGAATGTTTAAACCGAGAAAAAACTACCCCCCCATCAAGAGTTCCTATAAAATGCAGTCTTGCTTGCTTTTAATGCAATCAAACCAAATCACAATTAGCCAGGCACTAAAAGAATGAAAGTGTGGCTGAATATGAATATATGCTTTTTAATCCTTCCCCCTGGGGTGAATTCAGCTTTTTGCCCTTTTACTAATGAGGTGGAAAATCCTCCTCCAGGCTGCCAGATGAGACTGATGGGCTCCCTTCTCCAGAACCCTTTGATTTAGAGATGGAAAACAAGAAATTGCCCAGTAAGAAAAAGAAAACCTGAATGAGGTGTTTGTTTGTTTTCATTTCGGCACTATGAAACCATTGGTCGTCATCTCTCTTCTCCCCCCCCCCCCCAAAAAAAACTTTTCTGGGAGGTTCTCCTAGTTAGCGACTTATTTTGGCCAGTGTACTGAGATCATCGGGGGTGAGGGGAGCCTCACTAGCGGTCCTCCATGGCCCAGAAGCAAAACTCATGCAAATGAAGTGTCGTGCTTTCACTGTGCTGGACCCAGTTCTACGGAACTCCCTCCCATTAGAAACCAGGCAGGCAGCATCCTATAAGAAATCAGGCTGAGTTTCAGATGCCAGTTTAAACCGGTTTTATTTCAGGAGGCCTTCGCACCATGAACCCTGCCCCGATGCTTGCTATTTTCTGGTATTTTAATGGGTGGTTTTGATGTTGTATATTGTATGTTTTGTCTTATTTTTCCTGCAGGTGGCTTTGAGATATATTGTGAAAGGCAGGATACAAATCTATTAAATAAGTAAACACTGAAGAAGAGAGAGTACTACAGTGGTACCTCGGGTTACAGACGCTTCAGGTTATAGACGCTTCAGGTTACAGACTCCGCTAACCCAGAAATAGTACCTCGGGTTAAGAACTTTACCTCAGGATGAGAACAGAAATTGCGCGGCGGCCACGCAGCGGCAGCAGGAGGCCCCATTAGCTAAAGTGGTACCTCAGGTTAAGAACAGTTTCAGGTTAAGAACGGACCTCCAGAATGAATAAAGTTCTTAACCTGAGGTACCACTGTATTTGTTCACTGCCCCGCAGGTGCTCAGTCGCTGTCCATACCATGGGCTGCAAAAGTGCTGCAGCGCAAGCGTTTGTTAAATAAGTAAGTAAGTAAATCTGGGAACAGTTGTACCTTGGTGAGTAGCCCACAGAGCAAGCCAAGCATTTTAAAACTTGTGAGTGGTGTGAAGGTGAGCAAGGTTAATTGCTGAGGATGTAGGCTTAAGCTTCTCATGCTGAGAGTCTCGGAACTGAACTGATCTTGATAGGATCTGGCAGTTCCTTAAAAGTTATACCTCATTAGGCTTTAGTAGCAAAGGAAAATTGGAAAGCCAGAGAGGGAGACATTTGGACAATTTCCCTGCTGAAGAAGAAATTATTTTCCTTGTCATTAACGCATTTGTCATAAAGCACACTTTCTCTGAGGAGTAGCTTTCCTGTCTCTTTGTAGTGCTCCTATTCCGCTTAGTAACAGGAAGAACAAGTGCTAAGTTCAATACAAGCTTCGTAGCTCCGCTCATGGGACACTGCGCAAGCTGTTCCCACACTTGTGCTTCTCTCCACAAGGGAGCTGTGCTGCCGTAGCATTTGCCGACCTGTGTAAAACTGTAGAGCATGTAAAATCAGACTTTTTTAAAAAAAATACAACTGATCCAAGAAGATGGCCACCTTGAAGAATATCCTCCAAATATTCTGCACCATTTTTTTTATGTAAGTTGCTTTCCGTTCCCTCTACACACATACACACGATGCTGGTTTGCACAGCACAACAAGCCAAATGGTGGCTTAGCAAGATCATGGAAAGGGGCTCCTCTCTGGTCCTTTTTACTGTCATGCTGTGCTGATCTAAGCCAAAGTTTGCTTAAGCAAGGATAGCTCAGCCCAGTAGAGTATGAGACTCGTAATATCAGGGTCATGGGTTTGAGCCCCACGTCGGGCAAAAGATGCTTGTATTCTAGAGGGTTGGACTAGATGACTCTTGTGGTCCCTTCCGATTCTACGAGTCTATGGCTTCTGAACTGGGACTAGTAGCTAAGCTCTCCCTTTGCTGACCATGAGTTGTAGCAGAGGCAGCCTGCCCATGACTTGGGATGAAGAGCCTCCCTTAGCTGGCAGAAGTACTCCACCCCCCCACCCCCACTGCTTCTGCCACAGAGGGAGGCATTCTGGGAACAAAGCATGGCTGCTCGGCTTCCCTGCCCCCCCCCCAGCAGAGAAGCTAAGCAAGTGATAGCAGATTGAGGAGCGCCCAAGCTCCTGTTGAGTTCAGTGAGAGCTGGGGTGTCCTTGTTATCCAGCTGTCAATTATCTATGCCCCCCCCCAAGCAGGGCAGGAGGCGAGCCAATTGGCAACACTTTGAGGAGCACTCTGGGTCCCACCAAGTTCAGCGAGCAGCGGGGCACAGCAGTGGCGGAAGTGAGGCAGGAGGGGGCAATTCCCATTTCACCTCAGGTGGTGAAATGCAATAGGCTACCCCTGAGGTGTAGCCAGGGACAAAGCTTTTAATGCAGCTTGTCTCATCGCTGCATTAAAAAAGGATTTTTTTTAATACTGATGTAAAATGTACTGTTTTAAGGGCAAAAGCCATGATTTGGAAACATAGTGATGCAAAGAGCCTCTGGAATGACCTTCTGACAGCCATAATTTTGTGGTCATTACTTGCTGCATGGATATACAGTGGTACCTTGGTTTTCGAACGTCTCCGTTGACAAACATTTTGGAACTCGGACATCGTAAACCCGGAAAGAAATCCTTCGGTTTTCGAACGTGTCTCGGAAGTCAAAATGGAAATGCGGCTTCTGTATTGAGATTTCCGTTTTCCGTTTTCAGTTTTTGAACATTTCAGAACACAAACGGTCCTCCGGGGCGAATTACGTTTGAAAACCGAGGTACCACTGTAATGCGATATGTCTTGCATTTCCTTTTCTCAGAACCTGTGCCTGTAAATTTATCACTGTATGTTATAATTGCTACAACAGCCAGAAAAATCATTAAATAGTCTGCAAAGACCCTCAGCAATTTTCAAGTGCTCTGTGCGGGGTGGGGAGAGTTGGGGAACCACTGTGGTAGATAATTTCTCATCGCTGGGAGAATATTTAGCAAACCATATCCAGTGTTACTGCTTCAAAACAGGGTGCAGATCCTGTGTGAGCCTTTTAGCACACATGAGACTCCAATATGAAGTACAAAAGAGATCCTGACAGTGTAAAAAAACCCAAAACTATAAAAAGTAAATTCCAACTTGGAATAGATGTTATTCTGACTATTGTTTCAAGTTGTTGATATTGCAGTGTTTCTGCCTGTGACTAAATACTTATGAAAGAAACATGTTTCAAACAGCTTTTACTTATTCTTATGGGAAAATACCAGAAGCTTGAAAATTAAACAGGATTACCAATCCACTGGGGAAGTGGGGAAATCATCACAAAGTAATAGAAAATCAAGGTTTTTTTGTAATTAATTCAAATTAAGAGTAATTATTGGAAAAGTAATGATTTGCATCAAAGCGATTGCCTAAAGACCCAGCAACTGAAGAATGCTTTGATACATTTTATATATACATGTGCCCCCGCTGCTTTTGATTGTCAAATGATGCCCAGTTGATTGACCTAAATAAACAGAAGTTAACGATTTCTCTACCATAAACTCTAAACAAAATAATTGGAGCTTCTGTATCTGCCAACTGAATTTTTGCTCACTGCAAAAGAGAGAATACGTTTGGTGTTTTGGAATTACTGAATGGCCAGATCTGCTTAATAATATGACAGTAGCTATGCTGTGGAAACCAACTATGGCTGGCATTCAAAGGCTTTTGCAAATCAATGAACATGCATGACGATTATTTGTTTTTTTAATCTTGCTTTGAAAAGCAGAGTGTCAGAACATACCACCAACTGGATTTTGATTGGATTTTGTATAAGTTTATATGTATATATGTATAATACCAATAAAAATTTATCATAGAAGAACATACCACCAACTGATTGAGAAAGTTCCGTATTTCCAAAAATGCTTGAATGATTGGTAGGAGAAGGTAAGGAAGCTGATAATGAAATCCACAAGTCCCACCTCTTAACTCACCCGTGTTTTAGCGAAATCAAGTTTCCACCGTATCCTTCTGAAAAGAGTAATGTATAAAGAAGCCTATTATAAATCAGTAGGGTGGGGGTTGACCCCTCTGAGTAGCTACTTTCATGGATATTTGGACTTTCATGTTAGTTCAGCCTTTTTTGGACTACGCGGATTTGGAAGTTCACGAAGTATTGTGAAGAACTATAGTAGCCATTGCGGCAACTAGTAATTGCATTCCTCTCTGTTGTCTGACAGTACAGCTCTACAAGAACCATGTTCCAACCCCTAGTTTGGAAACTAGGATGCATCAGAAAGTTTCAGTAAGTATTATTATTATTTTATTATGTATTAAGTAGGATGGTATCTTACTGTATTCTAGACTATAGAAGACAGCACTGACTTTCACTGACTTTCGTATTTGAATTATGTCCTTTTTTCTATCCTGAATCTACTGCTAATTTTTATCTCTTTTATTAGAGGCCTCTGCAAAAGACATTACAGCTAAGTATCAGCTCCACACATTATATAATTTGGCTTCTAGCTCAGGATGCATTATGCCACTTTCTGTGACCCTTCAGCCCACACACCAGATCTAGACCACCTGATTTCTCCCATCATATCCCATCCACTGCTATTTATTTTCTCCAAACAATGAGAAAAGGAAGCCATTTTTTTGGCACACAGAGGCTAAACAAAGGAATCTATCAATGACGGAAGCTTCCTCCATGGCCCAATCCCTTCAGGGTGTCTGTGTGTCAGCAGAGAGAGAGAGAGAGAGAGAGAGAGAGAGAGAGAGAGAGAGAATGGGATGTATGTGTGTTTTCTGCACATCCATTTTGGGTGTTTCTCCCACACCCACTTTGGGTCAATGGGCATCCACTCCCACTTGGATTGAATTTGACTTGGGGTGGGGAGGTTCCTCAATTCTCTTCTAGGCATTGCAATTGTGAACAGAAGCTTAAGAGATAGAGACAATGTCAGACGAAACTAGGCTGGTGTGATCACGAAGGAACATGAAGCAATTGTTTTGAGTGGCAGACACCAGAGGGAATAATATTATACTGCCTTCAACCTCCATCTCTATGCGTCATTTAAATATGAGCTGAGAAATGGTATGGCGGTGGCTGTTTGATTCTAATATGTAAACATCTAATTTCAGCACTGGGGAGAGAAGGCAGCCTTGCATGTTATAAAATCGACAGCTACCTTGTAACAAGTGCAGCAGATACACACATGTGGCTAGATCTTCGTTTGCACGTGTATAATACATGAAAAGGCAGGTAACTATATCACATTCACATAAGCAGCACCTTGCCTGTTAAATACTGATATAAATGAAAGAGTTTAGCCCCAAAGCAACAAGAGTCAAAAAGCTGCCTGGTGCCTTAAAGTTCAAAAATATGCATGTCAAAGGAACATACAAAACTGAAGCAAGGCCGTGTGAAACTGACCATAAATATCAGGCAGGGTTGTTACTTTGCAATACCACTTTGGGTATCCAACCTACACCATTCTAAACCATAACCATTACATACACAATAACAATACCCTCAACTGATTTTTGACTGCAAAACCAATACACAGGCTTGCTTAGCCTGCACCCTTCAGATGCTTTGAACTACAGTTTTTGTTTTATTATGTATTTTGTATTTTTATGTTGTGAGCCTCCCTGTGATCTTCAGAAGAAGGGTGGCATTAAAATTCATTAAATAAAAATAAAATAATTCCAATCAGCCCCTGCCAGAACAGCCATATTAGCTGTGGGTGATGGGAGTTGTAATCCAAAACATCTGGAAGAAACCAGGTTGGGAAAGCTGTGCTGAAGTATAGTTAACAGATAAAAATCCTATAGCCTTTGTCCGCAAGAATAAAAGATGACCTAATATCAGCAAAGCATGCAATTTACTGTACAAAAATAAATCAGAACTGGGATAAGAGATCACTTATACAGTAGTTGCTTTTTCCTCTGACATTTTGTTTTATTGCAGCTACATTTTCAAGCTGAAAGATTGAGGAAACAATGCAAGCAACTAGAAGGAAATGTCAATGAAAGGACATTTCTTGGTAGGAATAGGAATGATAAGGCTTCAAAGAGTTGCTGGAGTGTGTTTTGATTGCTGTACAAACTTCTTATTTTACAAGATAAAACAACTTTCGCTTCTTGGATATTGAAATGTCTTCTTTCTGGAGAAGTTATTATATGAAACAGCATTTATTGGTATTTCAATATTGAAGATGCACCTTCAAGTCTTCTTTGAACATTACTAGCCATGTAATTAGTTTCTACTAAAAATTATTCTGCATTGCATTTAAAACATGGATCACTGATGACTGGGATGAGTAAGTACTACATATTCTGAATGGTTTCATAAGAAGTGGCAAGAAATGTGGCAGAATTTTTTTCCTGCATTCCTGGCCATTGTGAGGGAATGCACTGTAGATCCTAGTAAGGAGAAAATATATTTCATTCAGTAGGGCGTTGGTGACATCCAACCATGTTCCTCTGATGAATGAATACTGCCTGAACTAGTGGGGGCTTCAGTCAGAGGAATGGAGAAGGAAGTCAGTTTCCCCATATTCATTCTCTGCACCCAGCAGCACCTATCGCTGTCTCAAACCCTACTCCAAGAGATGAGGGACCCTTTGGAACAATGCAGGAAATGGCTCAGTGTGCTGGAAAGGGGTAGAATCCTTCCATTGCTGACAGCCTCCACTGGATCCCAGATCCTTCTGTCACTGGAGGGACAGCATGTGATACAAACTAATCTGTTTAGGAATATTCAAGTCATTCATCTTAACTCAATCTCTATGAACATATTTTCCCTCTATATAACGACATCAGATTATGTACATCACCCTACGCCTAACAATAATACCCTGACATGGCAAAGATGCACAAGAAATTCTGTATCAATGCTATGATCCTACCGATTATCTTCAGACTTTGCTTGTCTAAGGCTAACTCACAGTTTGTGATACACTCTTTCATTTCATGCAGGAAAAGGGGTCTATGTGGAAAATTTAGAGCCTTAAAACGTTATGGGAATCTTTTACCAACTGATAAACATTGGAAGGCTTAGTTGAAAGCCATCACACACGGAACATAGCCACTGCTTTTCTTCTGGGGATACTGATTGGTACATCTTTTTTCTAGAAGAAAAGCACTGGTTAAATGTGTGGCATTTACTGTAACAACTTTATGATGAGTACCAGCACCATTTTTTCTAGAAGAAAAACCCTCCTCAGTGTCACAGAGAAAGCCCTATACATCATGCACTCTAAGAGACCAATGCCAATGAGGACTAGTGGTTACAGGGCTAAGTTTGAATGTGAACCAACATGATATAATCCTTTTCCAGCCATGAAGCTTCATGGGCAGTTCTGGACAAATCACTACCTCTCTCAGCCTTAGCTAGTCATTTGCTTCAAGAATAAGAAAGTGAAAAGTATAATACATTAGTCAAACGTAAGACATGGTACTATGCACATTTTAGGAATTTCTGAATACATAGTTTTACACCTTAAGTACTACACTTTTTGACCATTTTATACATATGGTTAGGATACGTTATATGTTCCAAGGCATCTATACCTGAATAAATATTATTAACACCCTACAATGCATTTATTGCTACTCCACTTAGAGGTGCAAGTTTTAAGACTAAAACATATCCTTATGGTTTCCGACTACAAATAATTCCAGAGAATAATTCTAATAAGCCAACACTAAAATAAACATAAACCATGAATGTAACATTTATAGTTTGTGAACCTGAGCATGACATCAATTCAGGTTCCATAAACACGTCTAATAAAAAAGATTATTTTAAAGATATACTTTCCCTAGACATGACACATTTTTAAAATTAATTAAAGCATGAACATACTCACTTTCATCCCATGTCCTGTTTCTGCTACTATAAAAGTTGCAATCTTTTATTTATTATTTAAAGAGACATTTTAAAAGGTCATTTTTTAAATAAACAAGCAAATTGTGTTTGCTTATTTTATTTTTTAAGTGTCCTTTGGTCCCAGCAGGGAAGCAACTACAGTGGTACCTCTAGATACGAACGGGATCTGTTCCGGAGCTCCGTTTGCATCTAGAGGTAAACGTAACTAGCGACGGCACGTCTGCGCACGGGCACGTCGCTTTTTGCCGCTTCTGCGCATGCGCGTGTCATCATTTTGAGCATCTGCACAAGCACAAATGGCGAAACCCAGAAGTAATGCGCTCCATTACTTCCGGGTTGCCGTGGAGCGCAACTTAAACACACTCAACTCGAAGCATATTCAACCCAAGGTATGACTGTAGTTACTACAGCTCTAAGCTGGTGAAGAGGAAGGCCCCTGTCCTAGTGTCTCTCCTGCCCTACCTCCCCATTTGGAAACATAACACTGACTACTAATGACCTGAAGAACTGCCACTGTTAACTCCATACGGTGGTACCTTGGGTTAAGTACTTAATTCGTTCCGGAGGTCCGTACTTAACCTGAAACTGTTCTTAACCTGAAGCACCACTTTAGCTAATGTGGCCTCCTGCTGCCGCTGCGCCGCCAGAACAGAGATTTCTGTTCTCATCCTGAAGCAAAGTTCTTAACCTGAAGCACTATTTCTGGGTTAGCGGAGTCTGTAACCTGAAGCGTATGTAACCAGAAGTGTATGTAACCTGAGGTACCACTGCACTTTTAAAGCAGGTGCCACTATGAAGGAAATGCCCTTTTGTGTGGAGAGGAACCTCTGCTGCCTCCTAATCACTTCCAGTAAGCCAAAATGGGAGTTAGAATAATACTCATTTGTGTTCCATTCCTCATTTTCTGATCTGATTCATTTAAGACTGCAACGTTGATATAAAACTGAACGTCTTCTTCACAGTACAAGGTATCTGGCATGTTGCAACAAAAAGAGTTAACTCCAGGGCCTTTTGTATATAGCACAAATGCTGTCAAACGGAAGGCACTATTCCTTCATCTAAATATTTATCCAGGGACATGTCTACCGGGATGACACTGGACAAGCAAAACAGTCACAACCTTAGTGAGGAGCTCTGGCACATCGGATCTTAACTTTTCATTACAAAAATGAGCACTTTTCAAGGCACTGCCAAGGCAGAATGGGCTTACAGCAGACTGCAATGTGTCTAGCTGCTGGCAATATTTATAAGCAATAAATTTTAGAAGCGAAAATGTTTTGCAGCAGTGAAGCCAGAGAGTGGTATGTTGTTAAATGCAGTACTGAGCACAACAGAACTACATTGGCTAAAATGCAAAATCTCTAAGGCCAGAAGCTAAAGGAAATGGGAATAGCAATGCAAATTTTGATTGCACACACCCACACTTTTATATGTATGCCCTACAAAGTCGCTGGATTTCCTAGATAAACTGAAAGTAAAAACAATAATATTTTGTTGAGTTTCTCATTAGACCCCATCTCACCCAAGCTATACTACTTCTAATAAGAGTATTTTTTAACACACCCTGCGCCCATCTTCTATATTGATGTTTCTTCTCTTGCACAGAAAAGCAATATATTTTTATGTTGACGTACACCAGATCAACAGGGATGCGGGTGGCGCTGTGGGTTAAACCACAAAGCCTAGGACTTGCCGATCAGAAGGTTGGTGGTTCGAATCCCCGTGATGGGGTGAGCTCCTGTTGCTCGGTCCCTGCTCCTGCCAACCTAGCAGTTCGAAAGCACATCAAAGTGCAAGTAGATAAATAGGTACCGCTCTGGCGGGAAGGTAAACAGCATTTCTGTGTGCTGCTCTGGTTCACCAGAAGCGGCTCAGTCATGCTGGCCACATGACTAACTGCTGTACGCCGGCTCCCTCGGCCAATAAAGTGAGATGAGTGCCGCAACCCCAGAGTCGGTCATGACTGGACCTAATGGTCAGGGGTCCTTTTACCTTTACCTTACACCAGATCAACAGCCTTTTGATATGGACTTGTTGTCAATTTCCTGAGTTTTATAAAACTCAAAAATATTAATGGTTGTATGTCTGGGGTTTTTTTTAAAAAAATGAATATAACTTCATTAAACTTTAAAAATGAAACAAAACGAAAGATATGCAAAGGTATGTGGTTTTGGTTTTTTAAAAAAAGTTTATTATATTCTTTTCATTTACTTTTAAAAGAGTATAAACTGACTTATAGAAAAGCAACACATATTTGAAATATTTCAAATGTAGTAGCAGCTGGTGGTGCTTTTCTGCAGATTTTGCAACAGTAGCATCAATGCTGCTTTGTTAGATGGGATGTGGCAGGAATTCATAGCTGTCAACTTTTCCCTTTTCTTGCGAGGAATCCTATTCGGAATAAGGGAATTTCCCTTAAAGAAAGGGAAACGTTGACAGCTATGGGCAGGATGGCAGCAAGGTCGAGTCTGTGTGGCAGTGCTGGAATGGGCTCACTGCCATCCTGCCCCACCACACCCTACCATGCCAGCTGCTTCCAATTAAACCCCCTGTTGAAGCTTCTCCCCAGTTGTTTAGGAAAAGATACTTGGTTTTTGCCCCCTGAATAGAAAGCCAAATTGGTTGGTGATTTAGAGTCAAAATAACAAGATAATAAAGGGTTAATCAGCCTCTGACTCCATCATTCCTCCACCCATGATCACCACTTCCTTTGGATTCTATTTCATTAAAAAAAAAGGGCAGAGAACTACACAGAGATGTCATGTAACATCTAATTTAGAACCGGCTTGTGGGCTATTTCATTGAAAACATTTTCATAGCTTCTTTGGATATCTTGGTGTCTGGTTTTTTTGGGTTTTTTGTTTTTGCAGAAAAGACTTATGGCCTGAAAGGCTATAAGCCACACCTCCAGAGGGATGATAATAGCAGATGACACAAGGCAGCGTCTTCTTCTGCCGGAAGCCATTCACTTTCCATTTTACACTCCTCTAATTCCTGCTAGGGGTTGCTGAGGCAAACACTCCTGGGGCCCTGGCTAATACACATGGATGCTTCATTGGGCTGGATATACACAATAAACTTGCAGCCTTCTTGGCCTCCCCACTTCTCCCAATATCCTCTGCAGGCGTAAGAAACATTTGCAGCTAACTAGACACTTTTAAAAAATGCTTCCCAAGCCTCTAAAATATTGGTTTCCAACTAAGCTGTTATGCTTTTGAAAGCATCAAAAAAAAAACAAACCTTATACTTTCCTTGCTAGAGATTTTAAACTGTTATCATTATCCCATTATCCTTATTGTTCCTTAAAGAAACCACAAGCTGCTAAATGAAAAGTAACCACTTGAAAAACAAACAAACCCCAGGCTTTTTTAAATTTTTTGCTTACAAGGAAAGATAGCAGTTCATCAATATGACTTATTGTGGACAATAAAATAACACACATTTGCTGTAGGGGATTTTGTGGTCCAGGCAGGCTTTTTGTAAAAGTGTATAATGTTTTCTTTATTTAAAACCTCTCAACAAAATAAGCTAAGAGAAGCAACACCTTCCTTCTTGGCACAGCCATATTGCTGCTGGGATTACGCGAGTTAAACCAGTAGTAAGTACAGTAACTGGGGGCTTCCTAAAAACTCTTTTTATAAGCCGTCTTCTTGGCACTTGATTACCATGACAGAGGAAGCTAGGAGTCTAAGAAACTCTGCTGACAGCAGAGCAGACCTTTGCCGATGGCGAAACAGAATGAGTTCCTACAGTTCCCAAATCAGTGTGATTTATAGCCCAAGGCTATGCCTCATTATTTCTGCCTAGCCAAGGTCGTTAGAACATCATGCATTAGTAGTGCAATGGGCTTGCTGATTCCCTTGCCAACACTGCTGTGGTGCAGTAGCCAAGATGTCTAATCTTCATGGGAAACAAGTGAGCAAACATTTCCTTGGTGATTCCCCTCCCCCCCCAAAAAAACCACACACCACACACACAGTAGCTGTGTAGTAGTGGTTATTTTAACATCAAATAACAGGGACAGTATAAATATAGTTTTCTTTGGTAAAGCTAGGGATTAGGAGATGTCCACATCAATAACATAAAAAAATTATGGACAACTAAATTGAAAGAAAGCTTGGATTTTGTGAAGTACAAATAAATTATTGTGACTTCTTATCTAAGCAGCTAACTGGGTACCGTATTTTTCGCTCTATGACACATACCCGACCATAACACGCACGTAGTTTTTAGAGGAGGAAAATCTGTAGGCATGCCACCCGTAGGCATTCCCTCCATAACACGCACAGACATTTCCCCTTACTTTCTAGGAGGAAAAAAGTGAGTGTTATGGTGCAAAAAATACGGTAAATGTGATATCTTCATATTATTTTAACAGGATGATTATGTCATATTGCAATATGATCAGTGGTATCTAATTATATCAGTAATATTAAGATTTGGTTGCCTAAGGATGGTAGGCAACCATTCTATCCTAATTTCAGGCAGTCATTCCATCCTAATTCCAACCCCAAAGTAGATTACATCACATCTCAAAGATTAGCTCATATAATCTAAAATACAGAATAGGAACAAAGTCAACTATACCAAAGTATCTTGGGGGGAAAGCTGTGTATGGGGTCTAATTTATTTAATGTTTGGTCAAGAATAACACTGAATTTTAGACAAAACCTGAACTTTTTGAAGGGAGGGTAATTTCTTTGGAGAATCAAAATACAGTGGTACCTCAGGTTACATATGCTTCAGGTTACATACGCTTCAGGTTACAGACTCCGCTAACCCAGAAATAGTGCTTCAGGTTAAGAACTTTGCTTCAGGATGAGAACAGAAATTGTGCTCCGACGGTGCGGCAGCAGCAAGAGGCCCCATTAGCTAAAGTGGTGCTTCAGGTTAAGAACAGTTTCAGGTTAAGTATGGACCTCCAGAACGAATTAAGTACTTAACCTGAGGTACCACTGTATTATCATTTCAATTGCAATCTGTACATGACTGTATCCACCCACCTACAATGTTCATGCTCCTCTTGAAATTCATGGATTGGGGGAGAAGATCCGTTTACTGCAGCTAGATTCAGGTAGGTAGCTGTGTTGGTCTGACGCATCACCTTAGAGACCAACTAAGCTTTCGTGTGCATGCATACTTCTTCAGATACACATAAGCTTATACCAAGAACAAACTTAGTTGGTCTCTAAAGTACTACCAGACAATTTATTTATTGATTATTTATTTATTTAATACTTTACTGCAGCTAGGCATACATCAGGAGGCTATGTGGCAGGATGGTGACAGTATTAAGCTTGTTATGTTTTAACCTTCTTGCAACCTCAAACCATGATTACTTTCTGAAAATAAAACTATTCAGTCCAAGTCTGTGGGTGAGACATCTCTGGCACTGACGAGGACACCCTGGCTTAAACATGTCATGGAAGCTGCCAAGTGTGGGTGCCTGAGTAAGCTGCACTGGGGTGTAGAATGGTGACCAGAGGGTACCACAGGAGGAAAGAGAAGTCCTGAAGGAATCCAAGAAGCTGGAGATCACGTAGAGAGGAACTTTTGTTGTGTTAATGTGTCACTGTGCTATTATCTGCTTTGGTGGATTGCTCTGAATGTTGCCAGTAGCTGTACTGTTTTCTGCTGCATAGCTGTGTAAATCTGTCCCTTTTGCTAAATGGGGGGTCAGTGTTATAGATTTGGGAGGGGGCCCCCTAAACTCTAGAAATTTATAAATGGTGGGATTTTGATTATTTGGGATGTGAAGGGAGAAAAACAAGCTGCAGAGGAATTTCTGGGCAAGCCTATGCAAAATGACTCGGCCAAGCTAGGGCCATTAAGAAACACTAGAGGGCCACTGAGGACCATTGGCAATACAACAGAACTGTGTCCCCCCGCCCCCTTGCTCTGAGGTGCAAAGAGAGATTGGGGGTTTGGAAGGTTGCCAAGGTGTGACGTGACAGAAAAAGATTCTTGAGCAAGTGTTGCTGGGAAGAAGAAGGAAAGAAGGAAGACTGGGATCCATCTTGGGCTGGCTGGCTGCAGGTTGGATGGGAGACATGCCTTTGAATCCGGGGTTGCACTGCTGCAGAGTACAAGACCCTCTTGAAATGACCATGCTGTAAGATCTCAGCTCCCTCCATAAAGACTGAAGGTCTTAAAGCTATGACAGTCTCTGCCATGTCTCAATCCTGCAAAGAACCATAGACCCAGGGTGAGTGCCTGGAACCCTTTGGAATCTCGCTCCAGCTTGGTAGAGAGGGGGGTGGCACCCAATTTTTCTAACAATACTAATGAAGACAAGGAGGTATGGTGTGCTTCTCATCCATAGCTAACTGCCTCCTTTCCCCCCAAACTGGGACCACAGTGTATTGTTCATAATCCACTGTATTTTCTGGGTTCTTGCCGTCTTACTCATGCTTCCCTGAAAATGGTGTTTTATTCATTGGCTATAAATAAAGCTAAATGGAGCAACGTAAATGTAAAGTGGGAAAATGAAGTGGATAACAAAGCAACCGTGAGCTCTACTGTGATGTATACAGACCATTAAGGATTTCATTAGGTTTACTAAAAGGTCATTAGTGATAAAATATATATTATTTTTTATTTTACCTACTTCCCAAACATTATAGTCAATTCTGCTTCCCAAGCTCTGTAACCCATTGACATTAATTAGAAAGCTATATATTAGAGAAGCAATTTTAATGAGCTGTTATTTCAAATGGCTTTATTGGAGAACAGCATTGTTCAGTTTAATAGCACATAAAATGACAACTATAGAAATTGCTTTGATAAGATTAAAGCATCTAGAGGTTATTCAATCTCCTGTACTGTACCCCTCTCAGTCCTTGGGGCTAAGAATATTTTGCTATAATACACATACAACTTGCTGTGCCAGCGCTTCCTGTGAACTGTATAAGTTTTTTTTTTTCTTTAAAAAAAATAGGCTCCTTGGAAAAGCACAGAGAATACCTCATCTGTAAATTGTTTTACAGTACTGCAGGAATGCATGTAGAAAAAGCGAAACCAAAAAATGCTCTTAAATATGGGCCCATGTTTCAAGTGTGTTAGAAATTAAGGGTGTACAACAACAACAAAGTCACCTTGGTGCCTGTCTGGTTGCCTCAGATTGCTGCACCTGGGCCTGACATCACACTGTGCCTTGCTCTTAAGGTGGTGCTTTGTCTGATTTTCCAAAGTCAGGTGACTTTCCTGTTGAATATAACATCCCCACCCCCACTCAGGGGCGGAGGAAGGAGGGGTGGTGGGGGCGGACTGCCCCAGGTGTCTTCGCTGAGGGGGGATGACATTTGGCACGCCACCCACCTGAGACTCCAAAGCCTACCCCGAGCCATAGTTTTGACAGCTGGGGAAGGCTTGGGAGTCGCAGGCGGGTGGTGCGCTAAATGTCACCCCCCTCAGTGAAGACAACCGGGGCCATCCGCCCCACCCCCACCCCCTTCCTCCACCCCTGAGCTATCCCGTGCCTGGGAGGGCAGGGTGCCACAGCACCCTCGGGAGTGTGCTTGCCCTGGGCAGCGCAGGCATAAGCTCTGCCACTGCCCCCACTCTGCCCTGCCCCTGCCACCATACAAGTACTATCATGCTAACTCACGCATAGGCAAATTCGGCTGTCCAAATGTTTTGGGACTACAACTCCCATCATCCCTAGCTAACAGGACCAGTGGTCAGGGATGATGGGAATTGTAGTCTCAAAAACATCTGAAGGGCCAAGTTTGCCTATGCCTGCTCTAACTCAAAGGGTATGACAGTAATATGCATAATAATTACTCCAGGCTGGGGTGACATCTTTAGGTGACATTATTTTGGTAGTCTTTAGAAAGGGTTTTTTAAAAGGGCAGTGCTTTAGCCTTCAGACTGCCTCAATGTGCTTTTAATCATATTTCTTGCAGAATTTTATGTACCTCCCCATCCCTATGTAGAACTCAAATGGGCCAGACTTCAGTGGGTTCATCCATCTCTATGCCGGGGAGACAGTGAATCGAGAACATTTCCCCCTGACGTTTTCCTTTCTGTGCGCAGATAACTTTTTAGTAGGCAGAACATTCAGTCATGCACTTGCCCACCTCCAGTCTACAGTGGTACAATCCAGATTAGTTTCACTTTGCACTGCTTCAGCAATTCAATTAAAAAAAAATGGATAAGAAGAGCTTTTGGCCATACTCCTGAACTGGAGGAAGCCAAGACAATTTGGAGAAGCAGCAAAATGTTTCCAGAAGGAGGTTAACAAACCTAGTATGCAGAATTCCACAATGCATCAGTAACAGGAGAGATCACTCTGGAATGTGTCTGATTCTAAATATCCTGAAGAAATGATCCACATAATGCTTTTAATCCCCTCTCTCCTTTCATCTTTTTGCTGTAAATGGTACACAGCATCTGAAGCTACTGCAGTATTTAGAATTTACAGATAAGTTTATTTTAGAGCTGTTTTGGGACTGAATACCCATCATTTGTTCCCTATTACCTTGGAACAGGGTGAACCAGGACTGGCGTGAGGGTAACTTGGAGCTTGGTGGAGCCAGTTTAAACTGATTCTGCCTATGGCGCCCATAAGGTAACCATTTCCCAAGTAAAGACAGGCACGTTCCCTTATGGTGCTCCTCAGGGTTTGTTCCAGGATTTGCTCTACAGAGCCCCTTTCCTCTTTCTCATCCCATAGTTATGGCTGGGTGCTTACAGAAACAGGCCTGGGATTTTTATTTCAATTGTTGAGAAGTTATCTTCACATAACTGAATGTGTGTCCTGGACTGGCTTTTAAAAAACAAAAACTGAAGTGTTATTTTTTAAATTTATTTTTTACTCTGGGAGGATTCTCAGTTTTCCTTTCTGCTCAGTAGAATGTGGATTGTTCACCACATTGTTGAAAGGCAAATAATGAAGCAATCAGATAATTGCTTTGTTGTAGAAACCAATTTTCCACCACTTTGGTAGTGGTGGTGGGATTCTGGACTGCATTTTGGTGGAGCCCAGCTATCCATTTCATTGTGATTTTGTTTGCCTTCCCTCCATATCTATGAAGAATATCACCTTGATATTACTATTGCTTCCTGCCCCCCCCCCCCCGTACAATTAAGCCAATTGCTCAACACCCAAATCAGTTCTTTTTCCCTTTAAAAAGTGCATTATTTGCTAAATTGAGGATGAAGAATATTGAGCCAAAGTAAAGGCAGTTTGACTGAAGAAATAATATCATGCTTTCTAGTCTTTGTTCCATTTTAGAGTAGTGATGGTGTTCTAATGCAAAGTTGGAGATGTTGTATTGTTTTAAAAATAACATTATTTATATTCCCCCAAATTTGCCTCTTGGGAAGATTATAAACTCTTAAGAACCAATTCTTCTTCTCTACTGGTGGTGGTGGGGATTTTTTATAAATAAGGAACTGCAAGAAATCTAGTACACATTCCATCTAGCCTGAAGGACAAAAGTGGAGATGGGGATCCTTTCTGGCTTGTATGAATCCCAGAGGTATTCTAGAAGCCTGCATTTAAATGCAAGCTAAAATACATACCAGTAACTAGAAACTCGTTTTGACTGAGATAGAAGCAGAAATGCTTTAAAATGAATCCCAACTCTTTCCCCTTGAAAACATTAGACATTCTACTAGATTCATCTAATTACAATTGCAGAGTTGTTATGAACGCAATAAGAAGGAAAACCAGAAAGAAGGTTAAGTTCAGATATAGGATAGGCACATATTCCCCCCCCCCATGTGTGGTATCTTTAAATTACCATGTTTAAATAGTGCCAAGGCTTAATTGATTCTTTAAAATTAATTCATTCCCCCCCCATGTGTGGTATCTTTAAATTACCATAATTTGAAATGTGTGACACAATTAGATTAACTGAGAAAGTCACATATCAATAGCTCGCTTCACTCATATGACATTTGAGTGATACTACAGGATTTTAAGGATGTGTGAAGGTTAACAAGAGGATGCAGGCAGCATGATCTGCTGACACATCAGCTGTGGCACAACCTATGCCTCTACCCTGATGTAGCATCTTAAGGACATAAGAAGATCCTGATTTATGGATCCCACTGCCAGTGCTGGACCCCCCCACCCTCTTTTTGCCAACTGCGTTATTGATACCCTAATTCCACTCCTACCTGCTTGCCTTAATTGCCTCTTCTCTTCTGCTAACTAGGTATTCTGGGAAAGATGGACAGAAGAATGCTTGCATTACTCCAGATTGTCACGGTGACTTTTAAAAAAAAGGATTTCAAATTTAGATTTTTTTTAAAAAAAAACAAAGAACACTAGTTCTTAGAACACAGCTCAAGATACCATGAAAACCTGTGAAAATCTGTGTCCCCTTTAAAACTTCCCTCCATCATATATATATATATATATATATATATATATATATATATATACACACACATATATATACATACACACACACACACACACACACACACAGACACATGGCACAGAAATGCAGACGGCTGTGGCTACGAGGCTTACAAATTTATGGTTAGGGTAAATATCATCATCATCTTCAATAAGTTCCACATATTTGTATTTACAAATTCAGGACAATGACATTAATGCTGCAGGAGTGCCCTCATCATACAGTCTACATCATTCAGAGTGATGCCTCTTAGGCATTTTGAACGTTTGACTCATAGGAGGGAAGCTTTCAGAAGAATAGAGAAACCTTAATGAACTGTATTAGTTCTGCCATTCACATCTAGATAGGAAATGGACTTAACGGAGCATCCATATAATGCTTCTCAACACACACACACACACACACACACACACACACACACACAGCTTTCCTAATACATCACTCTGCTGGGGTTCAGAGCTTGTGTCTTTGCCCCACCACCATTGCAGATGCTTAAAGGATCAGACTTAAAGTATCCATTCTGCACCATTTTAAACATTTATTTATTTGCAAAAGCTACACTGCCTATCGGATACATAGTTTAAACATTTGCGCAGGCATGCCTGCAATCATTCCACATTGCTACATCAAGTGTCTCTCTTTAGCTCTGTCACCTATCAGTTTTCTTTCCTGACTGATTTTAAAATGCAACTGTGATCTCTCTTTTTTCTTGTAACCCATGTCTCCGTCTGCTCAACATCCTCTAGTCATCACATCCACAATCATCTGCCTGCCTGCCTTGAATAGTTAGCTACCTGCCACTTTGGAATAGATTCTGTCTGCGTTCTGAGGGTGTACATTCTGTGTGATGTGTGTTATAACCCCTTTCTGCCTGGATTCAATGAATCACGGGAAAAAGTGGAACTCAACATTTTAAAACCACTTTCTTAATCAGCAAGCCTGTAGTTTTGATTTATTAAACACTGCAAATAGTGTTTGTGTGAAGAATACACCACACTGCAGCAAGGGTGTCATAAAAGTCTCATCGGGGACATTGGAAGTATAAAGTGTTTTACACTGTGAGGTAGTTATTTATGAACTAAAGTCAGGTGCAAGGAACCTTTGGCCCTCCAAATGTTGCTGAACTACAACTCCAATCAACCCCAGCAACCATGATCAATGGCCAGGGGTGACAGGAGTTGTAGTTCAGTAACATCTGGAGGGCCAAAGCTTTCCCGTATCTGACTAAAGTTATCATGACTTTACTTCGGCTTGGAGGTTGATGCTGGCAACTTCCTTCTCACCGTTGGTCTGCATGTGCTAGCCATAACAGTGTTCTATATCCTAAGAAGTCTTATTAGGGGTGTGAAGATAGTTAGGCTTTTAGATCTGCAGGTTGTTAACATGATGATCTCCTTGAAGGGTGGGTTTACGTTGATGGCTTTTTGGTCCCTTCGGGCACTCATGGCTCTATTTAGCTATACAGTATCTGGATGTACAGTGGTACATCAGGTTACATACGCTTCAGGTTACATACGCTTCAGGTTACAGACTCCGCTAACCCAGAAATAGTGCTTCAGGTTAAGAACTTTGCTTCAGGATGAGAACAGAAATCGTGCAGTGGCGGTGCAGTGGCAGCAGGAGGCCCCATTAGCTAAAGTGGTGCTTCAGGTTAAGAACAGTTTCAGGTTAAGAACGGACCTCCGGAACGAATTAAGTACTTAACCCGACGTACCACTGTATAGAGTCTGTAAGGTCAGCCGTTGTTATTGATTGACTGAATGAATCAACATTATGGCAAGGATATAATAACTTGCAAACTAAAACTGCTGGCCAAGACAGCTTGTATTTGAAGCACTGGGACAGATGTTATGGTGGCAGCCTGTCTAGGTAAGCATAGCATTCCAACTTTTGCCAGAAAGACTCAAGGCTATCACAAGGCATTTTTTACTGGCTGAGGCAAAGGAGAGGGTAGTCCTCACTCAATTTACGGAAGTCAAACTAAACTGAGAGCTGAATCTTATGTCAACATCAGTTATGAGACAGCAGGTTAGATTATTATTATACAAATTTATAGACTGCTTGACAACATAAGACCATCAGAGTGGTATACAAAATAAAAACAGAACAGAACACACAAACAAAAGTTCTAAAAATTATAAAATCCACTCAACAAACTCTTTTAAAAAAACAATAAAATAATCCATAGAAACTCAAAAAACAACAAAGCAGAGTGCAACTCTGGGGCGTATGATATTTTCAGCAGTTCTGTATCTGAGAAGTGGGTGAGACACTTCCTTAGATATCCTTGTCCCCGGCTTAAGAGGCACAGTGCACACAGCGCACACATATCTTTGTTCCAACATAGGTAAATGGTCAGGGAATCAAGAAAAATGACCAAGGGAGCAGAGAGGGCTACACACCTGCCCCCCCCCCAACCACCAGCACCCATCATGATAGATGCCTGCATTATTCTGCCTAATGAAAGGACCAGTCCTGGAAAGAACAAGCCACCAGCTTTTGTGGGACATGGACTTTATGGTTCCACTAGCATCTATAAGCTAAAATATTGGGGGTATTTCAGTCTGGGTTCCCTTGCCTGCCCCAAATGACAAGATTCTTGATAAATATCAGCAGTAGCTTCCCCTCTTCCAAATCTTCCATTCTGATGTATTTTGCTTCTCCTGGTTGTCAAATGATGAACGAACTTCATGGGAGTGACCACTTCACTTCACCACACCACATGAAAATCTGCCCAATATAGCTTTATCCTAAGCATATATATTTAGAAGGTAGTTTTCAGTAGGATTTACTTCTAGGTAAGTGTAAGTGCCAGGGGAAAAGAAATGCTCATTCATTAAGGACACAACTCTGCACACTGTAGGGTCACCACCATGACCCCACAGTGTACTATTTAATTGCTTGTTTTTTAAAAAAACAACAACCACCAATTTATAATCATAATTATGCAGCTATGCAATTACCCTAAAAATAAAATAAAATGAAGTAATTAAAGAGACTGCCAGGAAACAGGAAATGCCTCCTTAAATAGGTGATATCAGTAATGTCATGCCTGGGACTGAAGGGCAAAGCAAAGGGGGAAATGGAGGGGAGATGAGTTTCATGATGACCTAGGTCCCTTGCTCCCCCACCTGAAATCCAGTAAGAGGTGAATTTCCTCTCCACACATTCGCAATTGTTAAACCACAGATTTCCTCCCCTCGCAGCCACAACATGGCTTTAATTATCAATTTCTTGTTTCCTGGTGGTGGATTCTTTCTAACTTATTTATTTGCAGTGTGGGAAGTTTCTTGTTCATTCATTTATTATTAATTTGCCCATAATTGCATGATTTATTTTTAAAATTGTGTGTGTGTACACACACACACACACAGGAAAAATCTCCAAATCACTGCGGACCAACAGATCTGAAGTAGAGCCTGAACCAATTTTGTGGTCAGTGCACATTCTCAGCCATCTCATCTGGATGCTCTATAACAAGCTGAATGAATAAATGATGACCATTATCAATTAAACACTTTTATGTGGAATCAACCAAGATGATTTTTATGATGCATCACCCCCACTCTATATCTGTTCAGTCGGATAAGTAACTTCAGGAGTGGGAAAATCCTTCCAGTGTTCTGTACCTGCAGGCAGTGTAAATGGCAAACTGTCTCTAAAAAATTACAAGGTGTTATCTTTTTCATTGTAACTGATGCTCTTTTATTTTCATAGTAACTCACAAGATCATACAGATTCCCAGAAAACAGTTTCCACTGAGGTAAGATTCAGTGTGCAGCTTATTATCTGCCTTCACGTTCTGGGATCTGCACCACACCTGTCATGCCAAACAGTGAAACAAAACAGTATTGTCTTAATTCATTTGCAAACCATTTCCCATATACCAATCTGCCATGTGCCTCAGCTGCAATGTTCAACACTAATGCCTCATGTAGCTGAGGATTTCCTTTGCCCAGACATTACAAGGAAGAACAAATTGTGGAAGCCTTTTAGTGACATGTGCAAACATCCACCAGAGACTCAGCTGAAACTATTCAACTCAATTTCTTACTTTGACCCAAACCACTTTCGAAAATCATGTTTCCAGATGTGAGAGGCTCAGCACATTAACCTTGCTGCAAACAGCCAGCCCTCTGCCATCTGTTTTTACAGCACAGACAACCGGTAGAATTGCTACAGTCATAGAAGTGGTTGAAATGAGACGCAACAGGCAAGATCGTATTCTACCTTAAAATATATTTTTCCAGTGCATCAAATGGGCCTTTCAAGAAAATTATAGGCAGGAAACTAGATGGAATTTTAGTATTCACATTTAATCCCTTGCTGCCGTCATACAGAGTTCAGGACCTAAGTTTTGTACAGGAGTTCATGAACTTCATTTGGCTACCTTGTCAACACTGCTGATTTTTCACTTCCTCTATTTTATATTGGTAATGATTGCCCCACTCTTGAGCACACAGAACTCTCAGAGTGGATTAAAATTAATGTAATAATGATATCCTGCCCACAGGCAACCCCCACCCCAGTTCTCTGCTATGGCCATTATCCATTATGATGTGGATAATGATCCCAAAAGACTATTATTTCACTTAACAGAAAAGCTCAGGGAAATCTGTATGCAGGCCAAGAGTACATATTGTAAGGACTGTGGGTTGCTTCCAACCTAGAAAGGATTTCTACCAACAACAACTCAACTCATATGAAAAGAGGATATTTGTTTTTCCCTACAGAACAAAAGGAATTACAGTGAGAAGTAAAATGACTAGATGCGGTCTGCAGGCCCTAAGATTCCCAGCAGTTATTAGCAAATACATTGTCATATAGCAAATGCCAGACACTGCACAGAGAAGATGCAACGTGGATGCCATTATCTATGAACCCACATCAGAAGATGACCACCAACTGGTGGGCATGAGACAATATCAACCGCACAAATGTAAGTATAAATGCATTTGCACATGCAATGCAGTAAAACTACTCATGTAGTGCTAATTATACCTGGAAATAAGGCAGCCCCTAGGCTTCTTCTATTCCAGAGTTTTAGTCTGCAGTATTTTTCATAGATTTTTCTTCCCAACACCAGGTGCAGGCCTTGGGACACACAGCCAACACCTAAAAGGCATCTATGCCACATTCACCACAGGTGGAAGTACATCTTGCATCATCTAACAATCAATTTCCCTTACCTCATAGAGTGTAATTATTCCATTAGTCTCATTTGGTGGCTTCCACTGAACGTAGATCTTTTCTTCAAAAGGTCCACCCTGAATCGATTCAAGGGGAACAGGTCCAGGAACTAGGAAGGACATGAGAAAAAGCAGTTATTGTTTACAATACTTATACCTTCTTCTAAAATTTCCACCCACAAGAAAGGAGTATTCAGAATTGCTCAGGTCATCTACTTAAATAGGGCATTCAGGCTAGTTACGATTGTGATATAAATATTTATTATTATTATTATTATTATTATTATTATTATTATTATTGCCTCCCTTGCATTTTGTGGCTGTCCATGTGTATGCACGTGTACACACTGATAGTCACAACTTGTGTTTTCAACTACTTTAACATTTTAAGTCATTAGCGCTTTCTTTTTTCCTTACCATCCTCCTCAGTTTGAACTACCAGCTCTTCACTCTCCATCTTGCCCTCTGGGTTTGAAAGAGCCAACCTCAGTCGGATAGTCATGAATGGTCGCAGTCCCCGCAAAGTATAGTGTGATGACGTCTGAATTAGTTCCTCCGCCTCATATTTCTGCTGGTTGAACACATACTGGTAATGGACTGTCAGGTTATAGCTGTGGCAACGAGTCACAGCATATCCGAAGGGCTCCCACTGCAAGGTCAGCTGCCGAGATCGGATGTCAACAACCTCCACATTCTGTGGACCATGTACAGGATCTGTGAAGCAAGCACATGATCTTTAGGTAAGTAGGCATCCAACAGGTACACCTTTCTCTCTTCTCATTTGTTAAGTTTGCTGGTAGAAATATGTTAAGTTTACTTAAGTAAATAAATAATAGTTGTTCTATTTAAGTACTTGATGAAAAACTCAGTTATTTTGGTCAAACAGAGAATTAATCATATGGAAGAAAAACTGAAGGACTCATAGGATGGAATTGCCTGGGTCAACGAATGGTCAATAAAGTCACTTATTATGTTTTCGTACCACAGAAGTTGCCATTTGAATTTCTTTGTCAGGGATCAAAATGCCTTGGGTACTCTCAGGGGAAGTATGAATTCATATTATAAAACAGTTTAATGTACAAAAATCTCGAAGCAGTGTACAAAACAATGAAAAGCAAACAATGCGTAATAAAACAACACTAGCATATGTGGCGATCACACAGGGTCCCCGGACGTTTGACGGTCTATTGATCCCTGTGCCACCACTGTGCTCGCTTCCCCGCTGCCACCAACCCGTTACTCTCGGGTACACACTGAGTCCAGACAGTTGTTAAAATTAAACCAAATAAACAAGTTTATTTTATAAGCACTAACAAGTTTATGGTTTCTCAGATAATTTTCTTGTCAGTTTCTTACCCTGAGTTTCTTTACCGGCCTATACCTTCCTAATACCTTCTGACTGTTTATCGCAACTGTTTGACTGACTCCTCTTAAGAGATTCTCTCACTCTCTCACATCAGACTAACCCAACCCACAGACTTATCCTCCCTCTCTCTTCTCTAACTCTAGACTGACTTCTTAACAACTCTAATTCTAACTCCTCCCCTTGGTTTCCTATAGGTAAGTCATTTTACAATTAGTTAACCCTTTCCTTATGTCAGGGAACTGACATCAGAGCGGGAGGCGAAGGGGAGGCTCCTAGATGATGCTGGAGAAGGACCCAGCAGCAGGGGGAGAGGCAGCTCAGTGGAGGGGGAAGCATTTAAGCGCAACACCAGGAACAAAAGTGAGCTGATGGGGAAATCGGAGAGAGGGCTCACGGACTCTTCACTGGAACTCAGTGAGGAGGGGACAGGTCCTCCGCTACCTACGCCCACCCTGCGCAGAAGGCTCCCGCGCAGTGAGAGGCGGAGGAGATTGGGTGTCAAACAACTCTTATGTTGGAAGAGATTCAAGAAACGCCCACTGACGGATTCTGCTAGTGACTGAGACAGTCATGATGAGAAAGGGCTGTGCAGTCAGAAAGGTTTAACAAGGCAAATGAGCCTAGAGAAGCACCAGTTTACGCACGAGTAACTCATAATCATCACAGCAATCCGTCAGTCCCTGAAAAGTTGCTCGTGCGCAGCAGCAGGCAGGCAGCATCATGAGCAAGCCCGGAGAAGCAGGCACCCAGGGGGGAGCAGCTGGAGGGCAAACGCTGGTGGAGAGGAACCGAGAGTTGGAGCAGCATGTGGCCATTCTGACGGCGCGGCTGGACGAAAGGCGGTCTCAAGATGCACAGGTCAGACCCACCCCCATAGCAAGGAAGGTACCGGGACTGGTGCACAAGTTTGGGGGGAAGCCGCAAGAATACAGTGCGTTTCGAACGGAAATAGAGTACGCATTGGAATTGCAGCATAACAATTTTGAAGACGACGCGGCACGGGTGGCATATGTTGTGGGTCACCTGCAGGACGGGGCCAGGGAATGGGTCAGGCCCCTTATGGCGACGCAGAATGCCGCCATGCAGGACCTGAGGAAATTCTTCCAAGCAATGGACGCGATGTTTTCCACTGATGTTCAAAAAAGTGTGACAAAGCGGGAATTGATGAACTGTAAACAGGGGAGCCAGTCAGTTAGGGACTACTGGTCGCGCTTTGCCATGATAGTTCACCGCCTCGGGTGGGAACTGGGCTCCGAACCCATACAGATGTTATTCGAGGAGGGGTTGTCCCCAACGGTTAAGGATGAACTTTCCCGTGCACCCCGCCCACAGGGGATGGATCAGCTGACCAAGGCTGTGCTTGCGATTGGCGTGCGCCAGGAAGCGCGGGCCCAGGAGAGGCGGGAAGGGAGAGAGCAACGTTGCCATGACTACCGCATTCCTGAAATACCAAGGCAGCCCTCCCCGCCAGCAGAGCCAATGGAAATAGATGGGGCACGCGCGCGGGAGTTTCAAGCACCAGCGAAGGGCGCAAGAAGGAGGGAAAGGATTGGAAAACCTCCAAGAAGTGTTACCTTTGCCAGCGGCCAGGCCATTTTGCCAGAGCCTGCCCTCAAAGAAAGGCTTGGCAAGGAATGGTGGGAACCGCAGGGGGTGAGGAGGAGGTGGTAAAGGAACAGGAACAGGGAAACGGGAACGCTTGGCTGCCAATCAAGGGGCACAACAGCCAGGCCAGCCACCAGTAAAAGTGCCCCAACCAGACCCCCAAGGCGGCAATAGCCATCGAAGTGGTGCTAGAACTCCCGAACGGGCACCCAGTCAAGGTGAAAGGGATGCTGGATTCAGGCAGCTCATGTAATTTCTTCAGCAAAGACTTTGCATTAGAGCACCAGCTCCACTTACTGCCTTTGGATTTTCCCTTGCAAGTGACCACCATTGATGGCAGGGAGCTTCTAGGAGGGAAGTGACACACCAGACCCCGCCAATGAGAATGAGGGTGTCCAGGCACTCGGAGACCATCGCCTTTCACGTCGCCTCACTAGCAGGACCCCCAATAATATTAGGGATGAGCTGGCTAGCACAACATGATCCAGTGGTGGCGTGGCATCAGAGGACAGTCACCTTTGGGTCAGCTTACTGCCTGGAACACTGTCTAGGGGGGGAAGCCCCAAGAATGACCGTGGCCAGGGTGGCTGGGATGGCGGTGGAGCGGAAAGGGGAGGTGCCGACACAATACGCAGATCTGCGGGAGGTCTTCAGCGAGAAAGAGGCAGATAGACTGCCACCCCATAGGCCCTTTGACTGCCAGATCAACTTGCTTCCGGGGGCTCAGCTGCCAGTGGGTAAGCTGTACGCCATGTCAGACAGGGAGATGAAGGAGTTGCGAGAATTTATTGACAAGAACCTGAAAAGAGGCTTCATAAGAGAATCAAAGGCAGTAGGGGGCAGTCCGGTGTTCTTTGTGGACAAAAAGGACACAAATAAACCCAGGCTCGTAGTGGACTATAGAGCTGTCAATTTGGTGTCAGAACCCGTGACCTTCCCAATGCCCAGGATTGACGACATTTTAACGTGAGTGAGGAAAGGCAAAATTTTCACCAAGCTGGACCTCAGGGGCGCATACAATTTGATCAGGATGAGGGAGGGGGACGAATGGAAGACCACAATGTTCACACCCCTAGGTGCCTTTGAGTACTTAGTTATGCCTTTTGGATTACAGTCGGGCTCCGCCTGTTTTCAAGCTTTCATGCACCACGTGTTGGGGTCTCTGCTGTACAAGAACTGCGTAGCCTTCTTGGACGACGTCTTAATTTATTCGGACAATGAGGAACAACATGTTAGAGACGTCAGGGAAGTGTTACAACGACTGCAGAAGCACCAGTTGTGGGTCAAGCTGGAAAAATGTCAGTTTCACGCCAGAGAAGTCGAGTTTCTGGGGTACAAGTTGTCTGACAAAGGCTTAGCGATGGACCCAAGCAAGGTGCAGGCAGTGCTGGAGTGGAAGGCTCCCAAAACACGGAAGGACGTACAGAGGTTCCTAGGGTTCAGCAACTTCTACAGGAAGTTCATCAAGAACTTCGCCCACTTGACAGCGCCCATCACGGATTGTCTCAGTAGCAAAAAGAAGTTTGTGTGGACAGAAGAGGCCCAACAATCCTTCGAAAAGCTGAAGAAGGCGTTCGCATCGGAAGAGCAACTCCTGCACGTGGATCTGGAGAAACCACTGAGGCTAGAGACCGACGCGTCCGACAGAGCCGTAGGGGCGGTCCTTTTGCAGCCAGGGAAGAGCAAGCAGGAATGGAAACCGTGTGCCTTTTTCTCGAGAAAACTGAGCAAGTCGGAGCAAAACTATACAGTGTATGACCGCGAACTGCTGACAATCTACGCGGCCTTTCGTCGTTGGCATCATCTACTGATAGGAGCGCAACAACAGATCCAGGTTTGCGCAGATCACAAGAACTTGGAGTACTGGAGAACCGCACGAGTACTCAACCAGAGACAGATTCGATGGGCACAGGAGTTCTCCAAGTTTTTCTTTGAAATCCGCTACGTGCCCGGAGAGGAAAACGTAAGAGCAGACGCTCTCTCGCGTAAACCGGAGTACCTGGAAGGAGAGGGGCCGCCGGAGAAACGACACGTGATCCCCGAGGACCGATGGGTGTGTGGGGGAACTTTGGTGGGGAAGCGAGAACTAGCCGGGCTGACCAGAAATGACGTGTTCGCGCAAACTAAAATCCGGGAACTACGAGACGGAAGAGGGACCCAAGAAGGGTTTGAGGAGAAGGAAGGGGTACTGTACTATAGGGGAGCGCTGTACGTACCGGGGGAGACCCTGAGGGTAAAGGAACTCAAACAACTCCACGACAACCCCACAGCAGGGCACTTTGGACAGCACAAAACCATGATGCTTGTGACCAGGCAGTTCTGGTGGCCCAGGGTGAGGGAGGATGTACGGGAATATGTACGGGGGTGCGACCGCTGCCAAAGGGCAAAGGGGGAGCGGGCTGCCCCCACAGGATTGCTGGAACCCTTACCCACGCCGGGGAAACCCTGGGAGGTGGTATCCATTGATTTTATGACAGATTTGCCCAAGTCCCGGGAAAGACAGCAGTCATGGTAGTGGTCGACCTACTGACAAAAATGTGCCATTTTATAGCTTGCTCACATGCTGTAACGGCAGAGGAAACAGCCCGGTTGTTTGTGGAGCACATATTCCGGCTGCATGGCGCCCCCTTGAGGGTTATCTCCGACCGCGGAAAACAATTTACTTCCCGGTTCTGGAGGAAGCTCATGAGCTTGCTGCAGGTGGAGGTGGGTTTCTCGACGGCGAGACACCCAGAGACCAACG